GATCTAGAGTAGGGTTTAGGGTCTAGGGTTAAAGGTTGATGGGAAAGTGGCCCTGAACTTATAGAACCTTTTGCTTCCCAAACTCGCCGCCCTGGTTTTTCCAGGATGGACTGCAGTGCGCTACGCCCCCTGGCCTGGCCCTGCATTTCACGAGACCCCAAAACCGGAATGCCTTGAACCTTGTAAAGACTTTTCAAACCTGTCAAAACCCTTTAAAATCCCTCTGACTCTTTTCAACAAGACCTTCTAGAGACCCTGCGCAAGCCGTTTTCGTACGCTCAGGATACCGCTCCGTCCGGCAGGAGTCCTTGAGGTACAGCTCCTTGATCTCTCGATTGAGGCGCTCCATATCCTGCACGACAGTGGACAGGGGTTCTGGGTTTATCGGGCTTCCGGTGTAGAGGGGTCTCGGGGTTGGGCTTCATGAAAGGGTGTAAGGGTCGAGGAGCCTTTTAGGTCTTAGAGACTACACAATACGATTTGCTCTAATGTAAGCTATTCTGCTCCTCTGCTAGGCTCTACTCTACCAAAAAATATACTAGAACATACTAGATAGTGTAGATTCACTCATCTAAAGCCCGAAGATACTAGAACACACCATATCGTGTACAGTATAGGATATGGGCACTGGTAGACTGTTATTTACGAGGACCTGCTGCAAACTCTGAATATACATACGGTTTTACGAGAGTAGGCCGATAAGCCTACTCGAACTGTCTGAAGTACTTAAGGGTTTAGGGTTTAGGGTTTAGGGTTTAGGGTTTAGGGTTTAGGGTTCTTATACTACTGTATAACTAGCAAAACATCTGGTGGTCTACTTTACAATCATAGTAGAGCCCCAAAGATTGAGGGGAACTCGGGGGGGCCATTGTGTTGGGGGCCTTGGGGAGTTGCGGCTTAGGGCTTGGAGCTTCTTAAGCTTGGCTGCACTCAGGAAGCTATAAATTAAAGTTTTAGCTGCCTTAATAAGAAACCCAATAAACCCAAAAAAGGTAAGGATCTAAAGTTACGGTAAAGTACCACAAAGTAAGGCTTCAGGTGCAAGGCACCCGGCCTGGCCCACCTTGTTCTGCTTGCGCGCGTTCCTGTCCCCGCTCCAGCTCTCCATGAACTGGGCTCCTCGCACGCAAGGGGGCTCTTCAAACAGAGCTCCAAGCCGAGCCCCTAAACCCGTGTTTAAGTTGGGGAACTGCTTCACCCCAAACCCCAAACCCCCTCTCCCTCTCTCTCTCTCTCTCTCTCTCGTCTCTCGTCTCTCTCTCTCTCTCTCTCTCTCGCAGACTCGGGAATCCGTCAGCTGCCGTCTGCAGCCCGATAGGCAATGCTCTCCGAGCAACGCCCAACCGCCCATGTTAAGCAGTGACCATAAATAGTGTTAACCCATGACACCCCAAACCCCCTAAACGCCTGAAACCAAGGCCATGCAGAGGTGCTGAGGCAGCAGTTAGGGGTTCGAACCGGGGGGTTGGCCCAAAGTGGTGATACATGCAAAACGCAGGGAAGTTCGTTCGGGCTTGGGGGAAAGGGCTTCAACAGAGGCTCTTTCGGGAATCCGCGAGGTTCAATCATCACTGTCACTGTCAACTCGGCTTTCGCCGTCGCTGGGCACTGGGGAGCCTCTGAAGCTTCTGAGGTTCTAGTTTAGGGTTTAGGGTTTAGGGGTTAGGGTTTGAAGGAGCTGAAACAAAACTGTGAAGACCGCTCCGAAAAGACTCTGAACCATGGTCCAAAGCAGCCTTCGACGGATCCCGATTTCCAAAATCCCCGTTCCACCGTTGAACGCCTCACCCAAAACACCCCGAAACTTGCTTCTACATAATACAACAGGCGACTGGGCCCCTAATATGGTCCCTTACCTCCTTTAAAGGGTTCTGAAGTATGGACCCTTGGGTTGTACAGGGTATATAAGGGGTATATATATATATATATTTTTGTATGACAATGTAACTACCCTAAGAACCCAAACCCCTAAACCGCGACGAGGCCTAGTTTGGGACCGATGTCTGTGAGCTGCTTCTCGGCGGTCTGTCGCGCGTGGCGCTTGGTGGTGGGGCTAAGTGGGGCTTCGGGCTTCTGGGGTGTGTTCGGCTTATCTACTACAGGGGTCCACTGAAGTTCAAGCCTCTTACCCTAAACCCTGAACCTTAAACCCCAACCTCTTAGCCCCGAAACTCCACGCCCGAAAACCTCAATCCGGGGGTGGGGGGTGGGGGGGGGGTGCACCTCCACCTCCAGAGCTTCCCACAAGGGTGACTTCAAGGTGACCTACTCATGCACTAGGCCAAAGAGTAACCTCGGAATAAAAAGGGTGCCCTTTTTGGTTTTAAGGGGTTCCTAAGGGAATCTACAAGCTTTAAAAAAAAGGCGAAAAGGGCCTACCAAGGGCCCTAGTGCAATAAACAAGCGCAGCTGAGCCTGCTAACCTCCAAATCCGAAGAACGTGCAACCCCAAGTCGAATCCGGTTTGTGGTTCAGATTTGTCGGGTTTAAGGCTAAGGTCCGAAGGTTTGGGTTTTTTGGGGTTGAGGGTTTTAAGGCTTCAGGGCTTTTTGGGTCGGACAAAAAAACAAAACCCATATGGCCCGTTAACCCACATGGCCCCCACTCCGGAACGCCTGCCCCAGCCGAAACTTGATGGCAAAGGAGGCGACCTCGAGAAGGCTTGTTTTTGACTTTGAAAGCTCATGGGTCGTTCAAAGCTGGGATATTTCCCCTTATACTCACAGTCCTTCATAGGGATTATCGTACCCCCTATTATAATCTCTATGATGGACTGTTGGTATAAGGGGGAACATCCAAGTGATAAGTAGGGTATATCAGTCAGGTAACCTCGATAACCTGAATTAAGGCACTTACAGAACCCTGCTTGAAACTACCCATGAGCCTTTTAGTTAGGATTGGAGATTGCCTTATGGCCACTTTGGGGTTTAGTGTGGGGCCTGGGTTTGTGGGTGTAGGGCTTAGGTTTGAGAGGCTTCGGGGCCAAAGTTGTAGGGTTTAGGGCTTGGACTCTCACAGCTAGCATGCGGCAGGGTTTAGGGTTTAGGGTTTAGGGTTTAGGGTTTAGGGTTGAGGGTTGAGGGGTTTAGGGTTTAGGGTTTAGGGTTTCGGGTTTAGGGTTTAGGGTCTCTAGGATCGAAACTGGGGTCAGGTCAGAGGAGGGGCAGGTCCCAGGGAAGGTTTTAGGGGTCTCACAAGGCCCCTGGTCCAGGAAGCTGCTCGCTCGTTCTAGATTAGGTTTTTGAGGGCTTCGCGTTCTGGGCTTCAGGCTCAGGCCTTTGGGGGTGCAGGGCTTAGGGTTGAGTGGCTTCGGACATTGTTCTACACCAGGCTTCCTTTGGGGCTTCTTGCTAACTAGAGCCCGACTTTCCTTGGAACCCCCTTAGACACTTGTTTTGTAGCTGAACACCTAACCTTTCAAGGGGACCCTGGAACCCCTTTAGACACTTTTTTGTAGCTGCACACCTAACCTTTCAAGGGGACCCCTAACCCCCCCCAATTCAGCACACGCGACTTCCCGCAAGCAACAAAAAACTCACCGGCCTGGTGCCGATATTGATCCACGCGGTAGCTTGTCATGATTCCACCTGGGCATCAGTCTCCTCTGCTATTTTGACAGGCCTTGGGCCCAGAGAGCTAGGGAAGCCACGTAGGGGTTTAGGGTTTAGGGTTTAGGGTTTAGGGTTTAGGGTTTAGGGTTTAGGAAGCTTGCACCCAACACCCTGAACCCTAAAAGTTTCCTCAGAGTCACGGGAAGCCTAGGATTCGGGCCCCGGTTCCTGTTGGAAGTCTACCTCTACCTCCCTTCCTACTGCTGCCCAGGAACCTACAAGGAAGGGCCCCCTTACTATACTAACTGTAGTTAAGGGACTTATAACCTAATTTAGGATCCTTATAATCCTTATAACCCAATTTAGGGTTCTTATAGCTCTGCTTATAAGTAGGGGGCCCCGCCTTGTAGGCTTCAAAGGGTGCCCTTTTTGGCTTGCAGGGGGTTTATAAGGGAACCTAAACCTCCCCAAAAAAAATGAGGGCACTACTGGGCATCCTAGCTGAAACCTCCGAAACGCTAGACTCTGCAACCGCACACACCAAGGCCCTTCCCAAAGCTTTTCAAGATAACCCTAAACCCTACATCCTACATGGCAGCCCTTGGCCACGAGACCCTCAGCTCTGAAGCCCAACAACCTCAACGCAACCGAAAACAAATCTGAAACCCTTTGGAAAACTACAGCCCTAAAGCCGTAACTAGTTCATGGTTGGGATGGCCTTGAAAATTTGAACTTCTAGTCCTTATTGAGCTAAAGTACGCTGGAAAACGTAAAATGTTACCCCACCATGACAAAGCTAAGCCCTAAAATCTTAAAAGCTCATAAACACACTTGTCTTGGCCAAAAACGCAACAAAAACACCAAAACAAACCCAAACCCTCAAACCCTGAAAGCTCCCTCAGAGCGGCCCTCTCTGCAGACCCGGTGCATGCGGCACGCACCGGCTTATCCCAAGCACCTGCAGGCGCGGAAAGGGTTTAGCTTTTTTGTCTTGGGGGTGGGGAGGGATTTAGGGGTTTGGAATGTAGGACTGTGAGCTCTGAGGCTACGGGTTTAAGGGTTGTGGGGGGATTAGGGTTTCTTATCCACAGCATCATCTACTGCGTCTCCCCCCACGCCGCCTCCTCAAGGGTAGTTTTGGAGGGTAGCTTTGGCCTCTGACATAGCTTTATGGTCTTCTGGCATGGGTTTAGAGTCTGCTCAGCTCGGTGTTCGATTTGGCGTGCAGTTGTTGTCAGTAAAGTTCAGATTGTTCAAAAAACCGGCGGGTCCGCATCATCCTGTCACGCCCAGAGCAAACATTCCTGCAGTCCGAACATTACTTTAAGGTTCAGGGTACTTAATGACCAATCATAACCGTACTTCTAACTGTACTTATAACTTATAACCATATATTAGGGCACTTAAGGGGCTTATGAGCGGGTTATAAGTACAGTTATATTTGGTTAATAAGTACCATGAACCTCCAAGTCGGACCCCACCCCAAACCCTGAACCCTACGATTTGGGATGTTCCTCCTTATACTAGCAGTCCTTCATAGGGCTTAGAGTACCCCTTATTATAGTCCCTGTTGAGGACTGTTAGTATAAGGGGGAACATTCCAACCTTCGCCCTAAAACGTGCCTTCTCTGCACTTCTTGGCGAAATTGGCTTGGTTCCGCCTGGCGCAGAGCTCACAGCACTGAGCTCAGCGGCATGCTACGGATGCAAGTGGACTTGATTAAAATAATGAATAATGAGCCCTCTTCTGATACCCTGAAGCACCCTGAAGTCATGTAAGGACCTGGAGACTGGCACGAGAACCTTAATAAACATACTATTTGAAATATTCCCTTGGGTTTCCCTAACCCTAAACCCTAAACCCTAAACCCTAAACCCTAAACCCTAAACCCTAAACCCTAAACCCTAAACCCTAAACCCTAAACCCTAAGAGGGCGCTCCAATCAAAAAACGGGGCGTGGAGCCGCGGGCTTCATGTCAGGGCCAAGCATGGGAACATGTGGAGATCTGCTGGTAACTTTGAGCTCTTTTTAGGGTTCAGGGTTTAGGGTTTAGGGTTTAGGGTTGTTAGGGGGTTTTGGGGGGGTTCCGAGGGTTTTAGGGTCCTAGGGTTTAGGGGTGAGTGTTGGGGGGTTTTTGGGGGCTCCGAGGGTTTTAGGGTTCTAGGGTTTAGGGTTTCTGAGGGGTTAAGCCCTAAACCCTAAACCCTAAACCCTAAACCCTAAGGATTCCGAGCTTAGGGCTTCTGAGGGTTTAGAGTTTAGGGTCCGGGCTTCTGTGGCTTTAGAGGTAGACGGTTCAGGGCCACCGGAACACGGCAGCCAGGCACCAGGAAACAAAACGGGAGCCACACCCTAAACCCTAAACCCTAAACCCTAAACCCTAAACCCTAAACCCTAACTTCAAAACCTAAGCGTGCCCCTCGCGGCCGGCAATGTTCTGAGTTCTGAACGGTGGTCACAGGGTTTAGCGTTTAGGGTTTCGGGTTTAGGGGCACCCCAAATCTAAGCCTCGGCCTCATAGGAGCGACACCCCCCCGCCCCCCCGAAACCGGACCAAGTTTAGAGAACCGCCCCTATAAACCCTATAACCCTACAAACCCTAAAACCCGATAAACCCTAGAAACCCTGGGAACCCTACAAACCCCACAAGCCCTGTAAACCCTAACCCTCACCTCTTTGTGACCCCAAGCAAGAACATTCAGTCCCAGCAGCAAATGGAGAAACTCGGCCCAGGTAAACCCATCACTGAGGACGCCGAACATCTCCTGGGTCTCGCCCCTCTTGGGCGTTGTTTAGGTTTGTTTCTGGGGGGTGGGGGTTTAGGGTTTAGGGTTTAGGATTTAGGGTTTAGGGTTCAGGGTTTAGGGTTCAGGGTTTCAGGTTTTGGGCTTAGGGTTGCAGTTTGGGGGGGTGAGGGCTTGTTGGGGGGTTTAAGGCTTAGGGCTTAAGATTTTAGGGCATGAGGCCCTTCAGGGCTAAAAGGAGGGACCCCGCTTGTTCCCCTACATAGCCCCTATCTCTAGCTTATATAGTGACAATATACCTAAACCCCTAACCCTAAACCCTTAACCCTCCGAAACCTTAGGGTTTCGGTGCTTTGAGGGAGTGCAGCATCACGGATGCTTAGAAGAGCTTCTTGGGTTCTACCGGATTCTGGTTTGGGATGGCGAAGTAAATCTTGCCCAAAAGGGTTGCAATAAAGAATATTCCGCTCTTCTTGTAAGCTCACTCAGAGTTTATTCATAGGCACCCGGGCTTTTACTGTCAAGCTGTCTTCCTGGGGGGGCGGACTTCCACGGCTCTGCTCACCCTTTCCGGGTATCATGCACGCCTCGCGTAATGAAGCTCGAACCAGCAGCCCCTGAATTCTGGGAACCGCAGGATCGCAAACAAAAGCAAAAAAAAGCCCCGTATCTGGAAGCGCACCAGAATCGAACTTCCCCCCAAACCCCCCCCCCCCCCAAAAAAAAAAAAAAAAACAATGGCAAAACCCGGAACCCTAAACCTCTGCGAGCCCAAAACAGCCGTTTCTTCGGGGCAAGAAGCGTTTCGCTGGACGTCTGCGAGCTGCAGGGTCTGAATCCATTCCCTTGCAGGTTTCTTAGAGTTTAGGGTGTAGGGTTTAGGGCTTTAGGGATACTTGAAGGTTCATGGGTACTGATTTTAGTAGGGTAACATGTACCCTGGCTGAGGTTCTTATAGAGGCTACCTTACTTGAAACCCTACTTAAGAATACCCATGAAATTCTTGTTAAGGAACTTATGTAGAGTAAGTTTAAGTTGCCCTATAGGTGTGAATTCATGTAATACCTTGCGATGTTCCCCCGTATACAAACAGTCCTTGATGGGGATTATAATAGGGGCTACTATAATTCCGATTGAGGACCATTAGTATAAGGGGGAACATCGCCATACAGCACCCCGGTCTCCGGCCGCAGCTGTCTTCGCAGTCCTTTCCCTGCTGCACATTGCGATCCCTTTTCGTATCTTCTTAATTACGCAACGAGCCCACCCCCCCCCCCCCCAAATGAAAAAATGTTGATGCATGCGTATATATATATATATACACATGTGTGTATGTGTGCGTATGCGCACATTTCTACATATACACATACCCACAAGAAGAGCCGGCCGTTTGTCCTGCAAACCACATGACCTCCAGCACCCAAACAGTGTGTAGGGGGGGGTGTCAGGGTGTAGGGGGGTCCCAGGAAGGTCCTAAAAGGGCGGGTTCTGCAGCGCAAGGGCAATTTTTAATCAGCCCCTCTGCCTGAGCCGGCCAGAGGCCCCTGGTCCTTGGTGATCCTGCGGCGAGGGGCCCGGACCCCTGGCCTTCCAAACCTTGCACCGGTCCCGAGGAGAACAGGCTCCGGAACCGGGCCCATCGCGGGTTCTACCGACCTGATCGACCTAGGGCGACTTGATGTAGAGGTCGAGGGGCTTAGGCGCCGCCCGTCCACTGATCCTTGAGTCGAGGGTTTAGGATTTTCGGGTTTAGGGTTTGGGTTTAATATATAGTCGGTAGACAGGGACACAGGACACCCAGAGAGTCAAAAACCCCTTATATAGTTCAGAACATGAAGAACCTTTAGACGATTGACGGATCCTTAGCATGCTTTAAGGTCTCTTCCTTAACTTAGGGGCATTGCGCTAATTTGGGGCACCTGACTAATCCCTGGCCCTAACCTAAACTCCCCCTAGAACCCCGAATAAAAACGATATCGTGGATTTTATATAAACAAAAACAATAAACGCTTCCTAAAGGGCTACAGCAACCCCGAAACCTAAACCCCAAACCCTAAACCGCCCTAAACCGCCCTAAACCCCCCTAAACCCCCCCAAACCCCAAACTCCAAACCCCAAACCCCAAACCCCAAACCCCAAACCCTAAACCCTAAACCCTTGACGTGCTTGAAACAGGCCGGCAAGGCTGGAGCTGCGTGCATTGCGATGGGTCCAGGCGCCGATGGCCCTGGGCCTTTTGTGGCATTGCTTTGGTGGGGTTTAGGGTTTAGGGTTTAGGGTTTGGGGTTTAGGGTTTAGGGTTTAGGGTTTCGGGTTTGGGGTTTAGGGTTTAGGGTTGGGGGTCTAGGGTTTTGGGTTTAGGGTTCAAGCTTATAGGGCCCTAGTTGCTGAGTACCCTGGGCCAAAAAGGTTAACCTTTCAATATGTACCCCAAAAGGTTGAAGGCTACCTACTCAGGTACTAAGTTTCTAAATCTGGACGGAAGGTTCTGCCGGAGATTTGCGACGACATGGGCGGTCGGAGTGTAGGATTTCTGGCTCTTCGAAGGTTTACAACATCATGTCATCCTACCCTTGAACTAAAGGCCCGCCCCCAGTCCTCCAGGATCCTCACGCAGGGCACATGCAGAGGTGCGCACCCCTTCATACTGGGTTGAAGTACCAAGCGTGAGCACCGCAGCTTTCCACAAACCCGATGGTTCTGAACCTATAACTTTAAAAATAGGTCAGGGCTGCCCGGACTCTGCGCAACAACCCCGAGCAGGTGTGGTTTAGTTAGGGTTTAGGGTTTAGGGAAGCGGCACCTAGCAAAAAGAAAACGACCTCAGAGGTTCAGCCAGGGGGACGCTATTCGCGCGCTCCACAGCGATGAGCGCCCGCAGGTTCACGTGGGGATCATCCTGGCGAAGAGCTGCTCCCTAAACCCTAAACCCTAAACCCCAAACCCTAAACCCTAAACCCCTTTTGTTATTAACACTTGCGGGGCTTAGAGCTTAGGCTCCAGGATCGTGGCTTGGAGCCAGTGGCTCATGGCCTGAACCCTAGCACGCAGAACCCTAAACCCTAAACCCTAAACCCTGAACCCTAAACCTCTTTGAGCTTGCGGTTCCCTCTCCCTCTCTCTACCGCTTGCGCTGCCCTAACACCCTTTTTGGCATCCAGGCCCTCTGACAGGACTAAACCCGAGGGCATGTAGGGCTTACAGGGCTTAGGGCGAGAAAAAAAAAAAAGCCTTACAGGGTTTGTGGCTTCATTGGAGGGTCCTGAAGGGAGGGGGTTTCATGGTGGGGTATGTGCCTAGGAACCTTAGGGAAATTTAGGGAAATTTAGGGAGCCTCAGGGAGTAGAGGGGAGTATTCGGGAACCTTGGGTTGCATACCCCCCTTGATCCCCTTGATTACCCTCCCTTAAGAATCCAAAAAAACTCAGGATAAGGGGGGGACTCGCTCCCAGTCAGACACGCTACTTGAAACTCTGCTTGGAACCCCGCGTTGCAAGAACCAGATTTGGGTTTAGGGTTTAGAGTTTGGGGTGGTTTTCACAGCACGGCGGGCTTTGGAAACCCTTAACCCCTACAGCCCTAAACCTATCCCCGAGGGCTTTAAAGGGCTTTAAAGGGCTTCTCTTTCAGGCCACCGTTCACGGAAACAACAAACAACTGAGACCTGGTAGTTCATAATCAGGTCATTCCTGGGGTGCCCCCGAGACTTCGTAGTTTTCCGAAAGTTCATTTAGGGTTTAGGGTTTCGATAGTCTAGGGTTTAGGGTAAGGCTTAGGATAGGATGCGTCTTCTGGTAGCTCCCGGCTCATGTCCAGGCATCATGTTAACACAGTTCTCAGCGAATGCCAATCCCACCGCCCAGAGCCCCAAACCCCCTTGTGCACAAGACCCCCAACCCCCTAAGCCCTAGCACCCTAAGAGTCCACAGAACCCAAAAACCCCCGGGAGAGCCTTTTTTGCAACAGGCCTGGTGATGCTCCAGCCCGGTAACAGCAGCCCCCAGAACCTAAACCCTAAACCCTAACCCCCAAACCCCAAACCCCAAACCCTAAACCCTAAACCCTAAACCCTAAACCCTGAACCCAAAACCCCGCAACAGCGCGACCTGCATCCTGCACGAGAGCCGGTGGAGGACTCTGCCAACCTGCCGCAGGCTCCCGGCTCCCACGCCGTTTCGGTTGTTGTTCTCTTTGGGCCATTTCTTTTTTTCTTGGAGTGGGGGGAGGGGGCCCTTTAGGGCGTTCAGCATTTTAAGTTATATGGTTGGGGTATATTTAGGACTTTCTGGCTCAGGCTGCAGGACTTTTAGGGGATGACTTCGGGGCTTCGGCAGGGGGATGTGGGCTTGGGAGCGTTCGGACCTCTACTCCAGCCCACACCGCAGGGGTTTAGGGTTTGGGGTTTAGGGCCTTATAGGGCTCAGGATCTCAAAACAAGTCCTCCAGCCGATCCTTCTTCCTTCTTCCTTCTTCCTTAATCCTTCTTCCTTCTTCCTTATTCCTTCTACCTCTTCTTCTACCCGGGCATGGGTGTAGGCCAAGGGTAAGGGACACTCCTCCGCGCACAGCACGGGCCCCGGTTCGTTGCCCGTCCTCCTTCTTCTGCGCCGGGGATTGACGCGCTCGGGGGGCCACCCGCGTGCTAGGCGCGCCCACGGTTGTTCGAGCCCACGTGAAACTTATCAATAGGAGGTATGGTTTGAGCGTTCTCCTCTTCAAGTACCACGAGTCCCCCCTAAAACATACCCTTAACACAACTTCTACCTCTCTCTCCCCCTCTCTCTTTCTTTCTCTTCCTTCCTTCCTTCCTTCCTCCCTCCCTTCCCCCCATCTTCCTTCCCTTCTTTCCTTCTTTCCTTCTTTCCTTCGTTCCTTCGTTCCTTCGTTCCTTCGTTCCTTCTTTCCTTCCTTCTTTCCTTCCTTCCTTCCTTCTTTCCTTCTTTCCTTCTTTCCTTCTTTCCTTCTTTCCTTCTTTCCTTCTTTCCTTCTTTCCTTCTTTCCTTCTTTCCTTCTTTCCTTCTTTCCTTCTTTCCTTCTTTCCTTCTTTCCTTCTTTCCTTCTTTCCTTCTTTCCTTCTTTCCTTCTTTCCTTCTTTCCTTCTTTCCTCCCCCCCCCCTCTCTCTCTCTCTCTCTTTCGCTCTTTCCTCTTCCGGGCTTGAGGAGACGGAAGTCCTCCCGTTCCCACAGCGCGCCTCTCTCTCTCTCCATATATTCCTTCCCTCTGAATCATGGCCCATCGTCCCGATCCTTCCTTGACAACGGAAAACCAAGCGTGCCTCCGGAGCAGGGATCTTTTGGAGCTCCAGTCCTGGGCATGGGCACTGGAATGGAAGGGTGGCGAATCGAGCAGAAAGCGGAGGGTTTAGGGATTAGGGATTAGGGTTTAGGGTTTAGGGTTTTTTTCACTCCTGCACAGCTAGGGTTTAGGGTTTAGGGTTTAGGGTTTAGGGTTTAGGGTTTAGGGTTTAGGGTTTAGGGTTTAGGCTTTAGGGTTTAGGGTTTAGGCTTTAGGGTTTAGGGTTTAGGGCCTACCGGCGGAAGCCCGAACGAGGGAACAGTGAATTGGCCGCCTTGGTTCACTCTGGTCTAGTACGTCACACCTTTGGCACCTTCTCTGGTTTTACTGATCAAACTGGCAATGATGCTGCTTGTACTAAGATGCAAACTCCAGTTCATGGGGGGGGGGGGGGGGGGGTGGAGTTGCGGCACCAGCGGCGGACCCAGTTGTCCAGCTCTCTCCTCTGACAGAAATCCTGGAAGCGGCTCAAAACTTTGGATGTTTCAAGGTGCTCAAGGTTGGGGCTTAGGGGCTTGCCCTAAACCCTAATCCCCAAACCCTAAACACTTAGGGACTACTCACAGGGCTTCGGGCTACCCAACAGTAACCTGGGTGTCAAACCGTCAAACCTGAAACCCTAAACCTAAGCCTTTTCCCATCCAAACAGCCAACTTCTGCAATACTCCCCCACTCCATGAAACACAAGCTAGCTTACTTCTGAGGGCGGCGCAAGCCAAACAAGCCCACTCCTACTATTCAAGGCACTACTATTGTGGGTAGACAGGCGCGGAGCAATGCTCCGGAGATCATACAGAAAAGCACAGAGGGCGGCGGTTGCAGTGTTGTGGGCTCGCAACCCGACCTGCTCAGACTTGGTTCCCCACGCCACCCGAAAGCTACAACCAAAGTCTTTGTCTCGCAGACCCCTGGGAGACGGTGAAGGCCGGCCCGAGAAGCCTCTCTTTGCAGCGCCACGCTCAGGGAAGCTGCTCCGTGCCTTCGCTGGCAGTCAGGTCGAGGTGGGTGAGTCGTAAAGGCTTCCATGACGCGCCAGCCCGCACAAAATCCATAGGACGCTTGCCCAGTCTGCCGGGTGCCTTGGTTGTGCTTCGCATGCCACGCACACAGCAGTCGCGATCCACCCCAGCACTGTGATTGCTCAGCGATCCGAATGGGATTTCTCGCGTGAAAGAATCGGGACGAACGCCATAAAGAACAGCACGCATTCTGAACTTCGACACCCACAAAAGCCGGGATACATCCTCATGCGCACCCGGAAATGCTATAAGTCACCCCAAAAACCCGATTTTGGACCCGTGCTGAGACTGATCCTAAATTATACCCTCAACCCTAAAACCCCACAACCCAAAACCACTCCTAAAAACCCTGAAGCCTAAAGCCCTCCCCAAAAACTCAAGAGCCCCCCAAGCCCTAAGCAACCTTAAACCCTAACCAAGCGGGAGTGACCCTTAAGACCCTCCCTAAACCCTAAACCCTAAACCCTAAACCCTAAAACCCTAAACCCTAAAACCCTAATCCCTAAGCAACCCGAAGTGTGACCCTAAGCCCCTCACCCTCCGCGCCTCGATCAGCCCGGCGACCTTGCCAACCTGCCGACCCCCGGCTGCTGGCGGCGCCTGTTCCTTCGGTCGCCTTGTGGCGCGGTTTAGGGTCTTAGGGTCTAGGGTCTCGGGGTGCAGGGTTTAGGAGTTTAGGGGTTTAGAAATTTAAGGGTATTGGGGCGGGGGGGGGGGGGGTTTCGGGGTGCCGGGTTTAGGGGTGTAGTGCCTGGGGGTGTGGGGCTTTTTTCTGCCGCAGAGCTGCGCGAACCGCTTTAAGGTTCACATGCATCCGCCGCTTGCGATCTTTGCACGTGATATTACAGAAGTAGTCCCAAGTACCAGGCAGAACTCGCCGTTTTACCAGGCTTATCTGAGCTTGTGACACCTTATGGCAACATGAAGATGAAGATAAACTTGAAGGTTCGGGTTTAGGTTTTAGGGAGAGCCAGGTAACCTTTTACAATAACCTTGACTAAGGCATTTAGAAGAATACAAAAAGAGGCTCCCAAAACCCTCATAACCCGATTAACCGTAGCAACCCGCTGACCTCCTAAACCCTTCGCCCTTCTCCAAGAGACTTCGCCCGCCTCGATAAAAACCCTTTGCCCTGAACCCTGAACCCTGACCCTAGATCCCGAACCCCAAACCCTAAACCCTGAACTTTGGACCCCTTGTTTTCTGAACACTGGGCCCCAAACCTTTGTTGCACCAGGGCTCTCTCAAGTGCCTGGTACAAGTCAAGATCCTAAACCCTAAGCCCTAAATCCAAAACCCTAAGCCCTAAACCCTAAACCCCCAACCCTCAATCGCAGCGGTTGTGTGAGACCAAGGCCTCTGGATGAAGTTTAAGGATGCAACCCCCCGGCCTCTTCTCCTTTGCTGGCACGACCTCCCAATCCTGGGTTTAGGGTTTAGGGTTTAGGGTTTCGGGTTTGGGGTTTAGGGTTCCGCGGGTTTAGGGATACTTGAAGGTCCATCGGTAGTTTTGAGTAGGGTACGGGCACATGATGGGAGGCCAGGGTGCAGGATTTAGGGGTTTGGGGTTTAGGTTTAGGGTTTAGGGTTTAGGGCTTCAACAAGCTAGGGCCGGCGGACGTTGTGAATCACGCGCTTGGTGGTTTTGGGATTAGGGTTGGGATGTTCCCCCTTTATACGAACAGCCCTTTTTTGTAGGGATTAAAGTACCGAGCTGTTAGTATAAGAGGGAACATCAAACATCCCAAGTTTTTGGGTCTTGGACTACCCAGGCCCAGGCTGGAGGAGGGCACTAAACTCTAAGCCCCTAAGCCCTAAACTCTAGACCCCAAACCACATTGCGAAGATTCCGCGCGTAAATTCTTGGCGTCTCCACTATGCATTGGAAGGAGAAAACAAGCTCGGAAGTATGACATGGGGGGGATCTGAATCTAAAGTACAAATGGGTGGACAATTTTTGTTCACTTTTGTGAAGGGACCAGGCGAAGGACAGGACATGTAAGATTGGCAACTGCTTCGGGCCGCTACCGTCCCAAGTTACGGGTGGGGCTTCCGCCGAACCGACGCATGTTCTTGGGTTTAGGGTTTAGGGTTTAGGGTTAGGGTTTAGGGTGTAGGGTGTAGGGTGTAGGGTGTAGGGTGTAGGGTGTAGGGTGTAGGGTGTAGGGTTTAGGGTTTAGGGTTTAGGGCTTAGGGCTTAGGGCTTAGGGCTTAGGGCTTACGGCTTAGGGCTTAGGGCTTAGGGCTTAGGGCTTAGGGCTTAGGGCTTAGGGCTTAGGGCTTTAGGGCTTAGGGCTTAGGGGGCTTAGGGCTTAGGGCTTAGGGCTTAGGGCTTAGGGCTTAGGGCTTAGGGCTTAGGGCTTAGGGCTTAGGGTTTAGGGTTTAGGGTTTAGGGTTTAGGGTTTAGGGTTTAGGGTTTAGGGTTTAGGGTTTAGGGTTTAGGGTTTAGGGTTTAGGGCTCCTGCCTTGTGACTGGACTGAGCTCCAGGCTCCACAGACAACAGCTGGAAACCGGCTCAGAGAACTTCTGATGCAGAAACCCTATCCTCACATGCGTAGTTCTCCAGATTCGGTTCCATTTCCGGGGGGTCCCTTTTGAAATACGGGCACTCGAATAGAAAGACCACCAAAAGGGACCCTTAGTTTAGAGCTGCCCTCCGCCCAAATCGAACCAAGCTGGGGCACTTCGGGAACCGCCTCATCCTCTTCCTGCTCGTCTTCGATATCGTGCCAAGACTGCCCCTTTTGGATGGCAAGCAAACCTCAGAGGGGGTTTAGGGTTTAGGGTTTAGGGTTTAGGGTTTAGGGTTTAGGGTTTAGGGTTTAGGGTTTAGCGTTAGATCTGCGTCTGCCAGGGGCATTGCACTACAATGCACTTCAATTTCGCTCTGACGGGCTTGCCTGCATCCAGCTGCACTCTTTATTACGGCAACAACCCCAACCGACCTGGCCCAAATCCCAAGTTCACCGGTCGCTGCTGGTGCGTAAAAAAAAACATATTCTATAGGAGGCCCCACAGTTCGACGTACCAAAACCCCCACAAAGTTAAAACAGTGCCGTCCGTGTCCTGATTCATACACGGACCCTGCAACTCTTGGATCCTCCTGCTCTAGAAAGGCTAGGCTTGGGGCCCAAGATGGTACAACCCCTAAACCCTAAACCCTAAACCCTAAACCCTAAACCCTAAACCCTAAACCCTAAACCCACGGCGGCTGCAAGACCTAGGCACCTCAGGGCCCATGCAAGGGTCCCCCAAATAGGGGTGCCTTTTTTGGGGCGGGGTTCCCGATCGTGGCGCTGATAGTCTTGTGGGGCATACTTGGCCTGCTTTTTGCCCATACAGCAACTGGCCCTATTGATTCCGAAATCGGGCTGTTGGGGAAGGGTTCTATTGTATTTGGAGTAAAAAAGAGGTACCCTGTTTTGGGACATGCCCACATCGGCAACCAATTAAGCGCAAACTCTGCACAAATAAGAGTTGGCGTCTGACGCTTGATCGAAAAATGGATTCATTGTGACATGTGGTTACTTAGCCAGGCAAGACAACCGACTAAACCGTCGTGCATCCGGGCTTGGGAGCGTCTATCTTGAGCTGCGGACCCGGTCTGGCAACCTTTGAGGCTCAAAGCCTTTATCCAGCAGAAGCCACACTTCTCCCACTGAGGAGAAGGCTACTCAGACAGCCGACGCAGAAGGTTTTGCGGCAAGAAGGGCACCTGAGCTTGCAGGGCCAGCTGGATGACCTTCCCCCGCAGCGCCTTCGCCTAGCCTGCGTGAGTCTCGCGCCTTGTACCGGGTCCCTTAGGGTTTAGGGTTTGGGGCAGAGGGTTCAGAAGCCTAAACCCTACTTGAAGGTTCGTGGGTAGCTGTAAGCAGGATCAAAAGCTCCTTACTTAATTGCGGTTGTACACGCGACCTTACTGCGAACACTACTTATACCTACCCATATGCAACCCTTGGGTGATCGAGAGGGGGTCCTACTCCAAGACCCCCTTCCTGGTTCTTAGTAGGGAATGAGGGAATTAGGGCCCTAGCCCTAAACCCCAAACCCCAAACCCTAAACCCCAAACCCCAAACCCCAAACCCAAAACCCCAAACCCTAAACCCTAAACCCTAAACCCTAAACCCTAAACCCTAAACCCTAACCCTAAACCCTAAACCCTGCATATACCCTTTAAGGGATTGCATAGGCCCTCATTCCCTCATTCCTTACTAAGAACCAGCCAGGAGAAGTATGCAGGGCATCCGAACTATCAATCTGGGTATGGGTGGAACTGAAGGCTTTGGGAGTCTATGCACATTAGACTAGCACAAGAAGGTGTAAAGGTTGCTTGTTTCCCTCAACCCTAAACCCTAAACCCTAAACCCTAGACCCTCAACGCTCGACTACCCGAGGCAGGGGCCACCAAGCGCTCGTGCTGGGCGTCACACCTGAGATTGGAGGTTGCTTGGACTCTCCCTGGGCCCGGTGCCATGCTGCTACTTGGAGGTTTAGGGTGTAGGGTTTAGGGTTTAGGGTTTGGGGTTTAGGGTTTGGGGTTTAGGGTTTAGGGTTTAGGGTCTACTTGAAGGTCATGGGTTGTTGCAAGTGGCGATTGAAGTACCTTAAACAACGTGACAGTCTGTTTAGAATATAGGATACCCGGATTTAACCCAACTTCTCACTACCCATGAGCCTTCAAGTAAGGCTCGAGCCTGAATGTTGCAGCCCTCAGAATGAACATGAGCTCAGCACCTAGTCGGGCCCCCCCACCATGGGCACGGCTACTCCTGAAACCTTTGACCTTTGACCTTTGGGGTTTAGGGTTTAGGGTTTAGGGTTTAGGGTTTAGGGGTTTTGGCCTGCCCACATCACCTCCCTGCATTGTCGGGGCACATTGCCCGCCATTGGCTGCGGAGTTTGAGCAGGACCTAGGCTCCTGAGGGTGCAGCGAGGCCCTATCGGAGGGCAACATTTGGAGCTGTGCACCATTCAAGAAAGCAGAAAATTTTAAGTCCTAAACCCATTGGAGCTTGAATGTCGGGCTTCAAAAAAAAATGTCTAGAGTTGTGATGCCGGGGCTCCGCAAGCCAATATACGCATGACAAGACATAGTACATATATATATATATATATATATGTTTGTATTTATAGACAGATGCAAATACATGTAATATATATATATATACATATATACATGTTTGTTTTATGTGTTGAAAAGGATCGTCGGAACGGTTGCCGAAAAGAGCCCTTGTCGAAAGATGGCTGGCATATAGCGATGGTTAGTGTGCATGTACCAGTCATGTGTGCACACGCAGATATCTCTACATATACATATGTGAATATATGTTTATGAAATAAGTTGGGTGTCCTTTTGGGGGTACAAATTATACACAAGCAGACACTGGTGGTCGTTGAGCATAAGCTGCCACTGCAGAAGCCCTCAAGGCGCATCATGCAAACTCTGACACCGGCCTTCTATGCCGAGAATCGCCGCCCAGTTGGGAGTTTCCGAAAATCAGGGACCCCCCATACACCCCCCCCCCCCCCCGCCCCAAATAATAGGATTCCCTTATAATAAGGACCCCAAAAAAGGTACCCCTAACTTCGGAAACCCCCAGTTCGAACTTCAAAGGGAAGTGGGGATGTTGTGCTCTTGCAGAGCGGAAACTACGTCGGATGAGTTGCAAGGAAGTTTCCGAAGCAAACTGCCACCTCCTTTCACTCTTCAGATGCTCTCTCTTGAGGTTTAGGGTTTAGGGTTTCGGGTTTAGGGTTTAGGGTTTAGGATTTAGGGTTTAGGGCTCGGAGACCTAAGACTCAAACTTAAACCCTGAACCCTAAACCCCAAAGCGGTAACAACGCAACCCTCACAGACCCTTTGCTTGTCCTTGTTTGTGTACCACTCCATCGGGCTCCTTCGGACATCCGCGAAGCTGGGCTCAAGGTTAGATTTAGGGTTTAGGGCTAGGGTTTAGGGTTTGGGGTTTGGGGTTTAGGGTTTAGGGTTTAGGGTTTAGGGTTTAGGGTTGAGGGTTGAGGGTTTAGGGTTTAGGGTTTAGAGCTTAGGCAGCTTACACCCTGAATTAGGGGTTCTAGTGGAAGTGCCCGAATGGCTTGCGTAGGCAAGCTCCCCAACACCTGCTTCAAAGCTATGTGTCGTTTGTTAAAGGGAGCTCTAGAGACAGCATCGCTTCCTGCCGGCAGGTGCATAGGATGATTTCAGGGTCGGAGGTTAAACCGGTTTAGGGTTTGGGTTTAAGGTTTCGCATCCAGGTCTCACGCCGGGCATGACCAGATTCACTGAAGAGGCGAAACTCGTGTTCACCGCCTAAAGCTCAGATCAAGTACCTTCAAGTTGAGTGTCAAGTAAAAAACCCCAAACCGCAAACCCCAAACCCCAAACCCTAAACCCTAAACCCTAAACCCTAAACCCCTCCCTTCCCGAATGCAACTTGGAGCCCCGATTCCCAGCACTCCAGCAATCTGGGCATTGTGTCTTTGCTTTCGCCGGGGCTTGCCGGCATCGCTCCTGGTCTTGGCAACGGTTGAGGGTCTTAGGGTTTATTTAGGGTTTAGGGTTTAGGGTTAAGGGTTTAGGGTTTAGGGTTTAGGGTTAAGGGTTTAGGGTTTAGGGTTTAGGGTTTAGGGTCCGAGTCTTAATTAGTACTTTGGGCCGTGGGTGTAGGGTTTGTAGGGTTTAGGGTTTAGGGTTGAGGGTTTTAGGGGTTTAGGGGTTTAGGGTTTTTGGCTTTTAGGCTTTTAGGGTTTTACGGTCTTAGGGTCTTAGGGTCTTAGGGCTTCAAGACCTCAACAGCGGAGCAGCATCCCGAGGAACCCATCCCCGCAACAGCAATCAAGCGCTTGCCATGTGGGTGGCTGTCAAAACTATGATCCCTTTTAGGATACCCTAATATTAGGTGCCGTACTATCATAGGGATGCAAAAAAGGAACCATTCTTTTGACAACCACCCATGTGCAAGCTGCGGCGTGCCAAGAGTCGCACTTCCAGGTCCCAATCGTGGCGTTCGACCCCCCACCCCCCCCCCCCTCCAAAAAAAAGCCCTGTGAACCCTAAACCCTAAACCTAAGCCCTAAGCCCTAAGCCCTAAGCCCTAAGCCCTAAACCCTAAGCCCTAAGCCCTAAACCCTAAACCCTAAACCCTAAACCCTAAACCCTAAACCCTAAACGCCAACCCAACGGAGAGCAACGAAACGCGGAGCTCCCGTGGGTTGTTGGGCTGGACGCTGGGCTCGGTGGAAGCCAGGGTCGAGGCATGCCTTAGTCTGGGAGCCCTAAATACCCTGAACCTTGAACCCGAAACCCTACCCTAAACCCTAAACCCTAAACCCTAAACCCTACACCCTACACCCTAAACCCTAACCCCCAGGGCATTGAGAGAAGTTTAGGGCGTTTGTTATAAATATATAAATAAATAAAGATAAATATATATATATTTTTTTTTTTTTTTGGGGGGGGGGGGGGGTGCGTAGTTAGGGTTCTTTTGTTGCCACCTGCCTCGCTGTGTCTAGGGTTTAGGGTCTAGGGTATTGAGAGTGCAAGTTTAGGGCAATTGGGGGTAAGTTAGACCCAAGAGTAACCGAAGAAGAAAAAGGGTGCCCTTTTTGTTTTAAAGGGGATCATAAGGGAACCTCAACCGAATAAGGGCCTACTCTGGGTCCTCAAATTTCCCTAAACCCTGGACCCTAAACCCTAAAACCCGAAACCCTTAGAGTTTAGAGCACTCAGGGGTTTGGAACGGAAGGTGTTTCGACTAAGCGGGCGAGGCTTTTGGCTCTGCGTTGAGGTGAGAGAGGATGCTCTGGGGGCAGGTTTAGGGTTCAGGGTTTAGGGTTTAGGGTTTAGGATTTAGGGTTTAGCGTTTGCGGTTTAGGCCTTGCATTTCAAAATAAACATCTTGCAAAAAGGGAGCGAACGGTAGCATGACGAAGGATCTCTAGAAACAGAGCTGCGAAGAATGAAAGACCGTGTGGCACATGACTTAAAGGGACAGACAAGGCCCTACGGAAGCTTGGCCCCTTGACAAGCAAGTTCCATCCACCATGAAACTCTCAGCTATCCCTGGCACTGCGCGTTCATGACAGCTAGTTGCTGATGAACGTCTTGTGGCCACACGGCGTGTTGCTTAGGTCAACAAGTGCATCACTGCAATGTGGGACCAGAGCTGACGGAGCATCTGCTGTTGCAACCCGGATGAGAAGTCGAGGGCTCTGTTCTGTAATGGACACACCCCCAAAATAAGTACAATGCTCCGAGTACGTAGTAAGGCAGTCGCAGAGGAAGAGGAATGGGGCTACTTAACTTCGCTAGTGCCCAGATTGCGTCCTGCACAAAATCTTCGTAGGTCTGCACCCGCCCACACCCTAAACCCTATGCGGAGCTGCAATTGGTATTGTAGAAAGGAGTTAGTGTTGGAAGTTGGAAGGGTTAATGAACCCGTAAACCATGTATGGCTCAAGATGGGCTTGAACAGAAAGCCACAAGTTCAAAAAGTAGTGCCTGGGTTCTTAGGGTTTGGTAAGGGTGTGGATTCCTTCCCCCTTTCCTTCCCCCCTGGGTTGCTCTTATCCGTGTTCTTGTTTGTTTCTTGGTTCGATCTGGGGAATATAAGTCCAGGGCGATTAGGGGAGTTGGTTTCCTTCCTTGATTGTCCCCCCGTAGGTTATGAGCCCAAATTAGGTTCCCTGCGGTTAAGTGTTCTTTCAAGGTTTTTGGGATCAAGAAGCAATGCCTTCTCCGAAGCGATGGCTCCAACCTGCCTCGGATGGTGGACAAAATGGTGGAGCTGGAAATGGTGCAGCTGAGTCTCTGGGTGAAAGATCGGTGTTGGAAGAGGTGATTCCCGGCGCTGAAGAACATCTGGAAGAGGCCTTGGTTGCAGAAAGCCCCAATGTGGGTATGAATCCCAATGTGGATATGGTTAGCAATGCTGAAGCTGAAGGACGTGCTGTCTCTGTATCGCCAAAGCCTGGTGAGAAAAGGAACTGGGACGCGACTGGTGGTATAGATCGTGAAATGGAGGTGACTGTTTTACGAGTGTTGCACAAACACGGGTATCAGCCGTCGTCTTCGACTTCGGGTCGAATGGTAGACCAAGAGTCTCAGACCGATCTGATTGGAGAAGTGCTGCAAGCGGCCAGGAGGCCTCTGAACAAGATCAAAAGGGATCCATCTTCGAGTTCCCAAGGTGGTGGAAGCGGTCATGAACAGAAGGGTGCGGACAGCTTTGAAGCTGCACCTGCTGCTGGATACGCCATGGGGGAGGAGGAGATCCTACAGATGGAGGCTGAGAGGTTGCGACAGTTGTCCGAAGAAGAGGACGAGATGCGACAGGTCTCTGAAAGGGATGGTTTTCGGAAAGACGAGCATCTGATCAAAGCGTGCGATGGGACAACGTGGGAATGGCACCTCCATGAAGATGGGAGACAATATTATTACTGCCTGGATACGCAGGAAAGCAAGTGGACATTGCCGGTGGTAGGTGAAAAGATGAAGAGTGACGAGGTGGTTGGGTCTCCTTCGGGCAATGAGCGGGAAATGGAGGCGGCACTGGATTCTTCATCCTCTACTCCGAAGACTGAGTCTACGAGGGCATTCCAGGGTAGTGTAAATAGTTTAGGTGAAAAAGATTTTTCCTCTACTATCAGGGATAGCGGTCCTAGGGCTGGTGGTGACGCCCCGACCTCGGGTTCTCCTGATGAAGAGGAGATTCCTGGAAACCGAACAGACATCGCTGGGGCTCAACATCTGGATCGGGAAGGAATGGGAGCACTTTCTGAGGGTGTGGCAGCGGTGGAATCGGTAGGTCCAGAAGAAAAGATTCCCAATGTGGAGATCGGAACTGTGTCGGCTGCAGAAGAGCGAGTGGTGGATGTGGTACCTGTCG